TTAGAAAGGCTGAAACTCCAAAATGTTGACATTGGTTTTCTCTAGGTGACAAGATTATGGGTGATTTTTTACTTTCTTTCTTTTATATTTCTGCATACTTAAACTCTTCTATAACAAGCATAACTTGGGAGATATAAAGATTGCTAACCGGCAAAAGAAAAAAACTAAAAAGTTTGCTATGTTCTAAGGCGATGAAGGCACAATTTAACTGGAGATGGAAAAAGCAGTAAGCTGATTTCTCTAATGAGATTTACTTAACGCCCAACTATTTTGGGAAGATGACAGCATAAAAGGAGGTGGCAGAAAAAACACCGAAGGCAGTCTGCCAGCCAAACACAGAGGCAACACCTGTGTTCTGCAAACACGGACAGCCTGAAAAGCCAAACAGTCTTTCAAATAGCAACAAGAAGTACCCAGCCTACCTTCCTGGCACCAGAAATAAGAGGACTCATACGGTAGATCTAATTCCCCCAGTAGAGCCTACTTATCAAGCAATAAGCTTGGAGGCTTATTTCATTTACACAGCCTTCATTTTGTTGTCACTGCTTTTAAAGGTTAATAGAGACTTTTGATCTGTACCATGTTTTAGAAACTCCCTTCCCTCCTTCTCCAGAGGACACTATACAAAGAGCGAGCAAAGAAGAATTCTATGATTCTACTGATCTTAGAATGAATCTAGTAACAGTCACAGGTGAAAGATGGGATGACCATATTTGGATAGATGAAATGTAGTTGGGTCTTCTAAGACGTAATCTTAAAAGGAACTTGGAAAACAGATTTTTAAATAAAAATCTAAAACGATGACGTGATTAACACCTACCAGCTAAGTTTTTCACAAAGCCTCAGTCATTAGTGCTTCCTTGTTGTAAACTACTGGCCTTTCTACTTGGTTCTCCAGTGCCATGAATTTGTGATCATATCTGCAAATCCAAGGACTCAATTCATGAGTCCTCACTAGTCTCCTTTAGCAGTGGTCCAATTTCATCTTCATTATGAGCTTTAATCTCTTTGAATATGACGCCAAATCTTATATCAACCATTGATTGAGAGTGTGCTATATGCCCACAATTTGCTGGGTAGACAGCAACAAAGACTCTTTCTTCAACTTATTTACAATACTGTCAGGCGGAGGGTGAAAAAATCAGTGAGAAGCTAACACAAAACACCAGTGGAACTAGGACTTCAGCAAAGAGTGCATACTGCAAGAGCGGGAAGGCTTCCTGGAGGTGGCGGAACTTGAGCAATGTTCCAAGTGATGAGGAGCACCTAGACGAGGGAGGTTTTTGGACTAGAGAAACAAGAGGTGCAGAGGTGGAAATTGAGGGATGAGGGCTGTCTGTGGGGTAATGAGCTGAACAGGGGGAGAAGTGGAAATAAGTAGGGTGGATGGGGTGATTATGAAGGGTTTTAAAAGCCAGTTAGGAGTCAGATTAGTTGCAATATGATCAGCAACAGAGAATCACTATAGGGGGTGGAAGATGTGGCACCAAAGTAGATTTTTAGGAAGGCTGGGCTAATGGCAGCAAGCAGAAAGAGCTGGAGTGGGGAAGAGAGGTGAGGACCTAGGGTTACCCCCTGCAGCAGTGACATGAGAGAGAAGGGGAGGTGAGGGCCTTCTCCAATGGTGACCTCATCCAGCAACCTTTTGGCAGGTCCCAGGTCAGGGCTAGGCTCTGAGGTTACACTGATGGCTAGTGGCAAGACAGTAAAAGGACTGAAAAGCTACAGCAAAGGCCTGAATGCTGTCATAAAGGAAGGTGCCAGGTGCTGGAGAAGGGAGGAAGGAGAGATTCACTAGGAAAGGCAAATACAGTGTCATGACAAAATGATGACTGGATTTGCAGCTGCAACAATGATCAGACCAGTCCTCAGTGGGAGAGCCTGGTGGCATGCTGGGGGCAGGGCCTCTGACCATTTACTCCTGTCCAATTAAACACAGGATGTCACTGCAGGACGTGGGACCAGCTGTGCCACTATCACCTCAATGACCTTGACAGAGGTGAAGCTCCTCTTCATCCATTTCCTCCAACTCTTATTTCTACCCAATTCTAGATTACATTTCTCCCACCTTTCCTGAGGATCCCCTCCTGACCTCTCTTCGCTTGTCTGCTCAGTTGGACAACTAAATGGAATTGTCTTGTATCAAAATCAGTTTTGCTGCCTGTCCCATCCTCTATAACTATAGCCTGATAAAGCTCTAGAAGTTCTGCTTTCTATTATCAGTTGCTTTACCATAAAGCCCCTTTAGGAACATAAGTATTACACTTAAAATGGTGATAGTAACAATGACTCACATTACTATGGATCAGTCACTATGCTAAACACTTTATACATTTTACTCCTCTCTGCAATGCCACAAAGTGGGTAGTAGTATTGTTCCACAGTTGAAAAGGAGGTCAGGTAAAAAATCTGTCTAAGGTCACTCTGTGGGGAAGTTGGGGTCCAAACCTGGAGATCCAGCTACTAACCACCATGCTCTGTATTCTACAAATGCTTTTCAAGAACTCAATGCTAATGAATAATCTCCTCTTCCTCCTCCTGCTTCTTCATCACCATCACTGTCACTGCTGATGCTATCAAGCACTTATCCTATGCTAGGGATGTTCTCGGACTTTTACGTGGATCCTCTTATGTAGTCTTCATCTTTCTATGAGACTGGGATTATCTGGCCCATGTTACAGTTTCCAAGGTCCTACAGCCAGAGGTAGCAGAGCCACAAAGTAGCTCAGGGGATTTTGAGCCTGGAATCGTTAAGTCACAGGTGATAACAGCCTATGTCCCCAGTGTTCTAAGGGAATTAGATTTGAACTGTCCTGACTGAATCCACCTCCTGGTAAAACGCTCTGGCTGGGTTTCCTCTCTGCTTCCTTCTGATGTGGCTTTACAAAGTTCCGTCCTCCCTTCTCCACCTGAGTGAATCTAAATCTGTCGGCCAGCCTCACGGCCTCTCACGTTTAGTTAACAAGCACATAATGGGCATTTGCTATTTTCACTGGTGTGAAATTAACTGCCTCTTTGTGGTGGGTCTAAACCATGCATTATTCAAGCTTGGGTACCCACACCACTTCCTTGGTCAGTGGAGTACACTGCAGATAAAAAAGAGTAAAACTTTTCCATTGTTTAATCGAAGTGTTTCATACACATGGCAACACAGAGGAGTCATCTTAATTCACAACAAAAGGATGAGTGATGGGTCTGAATGGAAACTGGGATCCTAACTTTTGAAAAAAACAGAAACATCTATATGTTTTATGATAATTAGTAAGAAATGTGTAAATTACTTAATTTGTTAAAATGATTTTGTTTTTTCTTGGCTGTGCCATGGCATGCAGGGTCTTAGTTCCCTGACCAGGGATTGAACTCATGCCCCATGCAGTGGAAGCACAGAGTCTTAACACTGTGCTGCCAGGGGAGTCTCAATTCCTTAAAACAGTTGATCAACTTTTATTAGTGGGAAAAATTATGGCTATCCTGGCTTCACAGGGAGTTAGGCAGACACTCTGGGGACTCACTGGGGTCTGGATCCAGTCTCCTGGATCCGCAAACTCAACAATTAGATAAACATCAGCTTACAGGGGACACAAATCACTCAGTGTCTACTCACTGCTGCAAGGATCTGTACAGTCGTTCTTAAGGTATATTTTTTTTTAGAAACTGGAGAATCCTGGATTCTTTGGAAGCACCTGTTTTTTAAGGTCTCAAAGATATTTTTACTATGTTCCTCTTTTTCTTAGCACTACAAATATCATGATACTAATACACTATCTAGAGCTGTTGGTCATTCTCTTCCCTTTGATCTTATTCTAAGCCACAGCAAGCATTCTCCAAATTCAAAATACTCAAGTATCATCATGAGCTCCAAACCTCCCATGTGGATATCGACAGAGCCCAAACTTGGCCAACTCTGTTGTTTCTTGTGATTAGAACTCTCTTCCATCATGAGCCCTCTTCATTTTTATCCCTGCTAAACATTCTGGTGCAACTCAGTCTGACTGTTCAAAACTGCTACCCAAGAGGGCAAGTCTTTCAGTTATGCAGACGATTACATTTGAGAAGCTCTGGCAGACCTTTGTGTTCCTACTATTAAAATTGCCACAACTACTGAAAAGTCTTTTTCCAGATATTTGCCTGTGACTCTTGCCCAGGAATTATCAACATGAGTTTTCTGATTTCTGGTTTAATAAACAAAGGGTACTGACATGCTCAAGGTGTCCCAGAAAAAAATTAAATATATTTACATATTATTTTATTTCCCACTTTCCTCTCTCTGGAGAAAGGAATATGACTAAATGAAACTTCAAAAAGTTTGAAAAACACTACTGTGATTTACTTAGTCATGGATGAACTTTTTGGTCAACCCAGTACTTATCTAAGAGTGATTCAGAACATGAGTGGAGAATTTAAGAAATCTGGACACCTATCATATGTCTTTCTGAAATTCTAGGACTCTGCAAGCAGGTTTATGCCATAATTTCTTTTGCCAATAAATCTGGAATGAAATTTTAATGCTAAATATGGATGGAGAATCTCAAACTACTAAAATTATACTAATTTTAATTAATAAAATATAGGTATATTGAATTGTTAAATTTTAAATCTTCATATTTCAAGTACCAGGCAGCTCTCTAGCACTATCTGAGAAAATGAATTAACTATTCTTTTGTTTTTCCTACCTTAGAGAAAAAAATACTTGAGTAGTTCTTTTGTTTTAAAAATATTAATATATTTATTTAAATGTATCTATATATTTAAAGGTATATTTGCATACATGTTTTAAATGTACACAATATATATATGCACAAACACATATCTACCAATACAATTAATACCAAAATGTTCTTATATAGAAATTTTATCTGTGAGCTAATAAAATAAATAACAGGCTAAAATTTCCAAATACTAAAGAGATCACAGGAAGATCATGTACTTACACTGACTAATAAAAATGTTATCAAATATCATAATGCAATGAAATAAAAGTGATTTCTTACTGAATACTGGGAAAGATGTATTTCCTTTTAACACTTGGAATTCTTGTTCGAGTCGTCTCCGTAAATCTATTTGTTCAAATAAAACCTTCTGAAGTTCTTCTAATAAAGAAAAAAAGAAGAGTCATTTTACTAATCTTTACAAATAACTCTCCAGAGAACTGTTATATATGGCAATTTATTATTATAAGACAAAATATTTTACTAGTTTAAAAAGTGTTGCATAGACATAGGATAGATTTTGTGCAGAAATCCATGAATATAAATCAATGTAATATATTATTTTAAAGTATTATATTACAGTGTCATGTATTGATTGATATGTATGCATTAATCTCAATTATATCCACCCAATGGTCCATATATTATTCATATGTTGCTTGTCAAGCTTAAAATATGGTGTAGAACAAAAATATCCTCCTATTATCTCTTTAGTCTTTTAAAGCTAAGAGAAGTTCTACAGAATTAAAACTTTTCTTTACCTTTCCCCATATTTTCTACATCCTTTTTGAGTGAATGAGGCGAATTCGTCTCCTGTGTGTGTTCACCTTGTAAAAGGGAGGAAAAAATATTAGTTTTGTGTAGACTATTTTCTGCAAGTTTTTACTTTCACTTTCTATCCATCTACAAAACAGTGCATTTAATATAACTTCAAAGTGGAAGTCCTCAGAGCCAGATGTTGTCCTCATTTGCTCCTGTATCCTTCCCCTAAACCACTGGAGGGACAGAACTGAGGTCAGAGTCCACCTACACCACAATAGTGGCTCCACGAAAGCACACTCTCAATGTCACCGCATCTCGGCCCCCATCACCACCCAGTCTTTACCACGATGCTAACTGTTAGAACAGCAAAAGAGGAGGTTGAACAGTCGACATTTCTGGTAGAAGTCTGATCAGAGTCCCTCTGTCTCTAGAAGCGAAGAAGCCTGTGTTAATTGGAAGGCCCCCAGGACCAGAAGAAGAAGCCTTCAGTCTTCTTGGGTCACCAAAATGGGCAGCGAAGAAGACGTGGGAGGAGACTTTAGCTGTCCCTGGGAGAGAATGTATGAGCCTGCTGTGTGTGTATGTGCGTGCTAAGTTGCTTCAGTCGTGTCCGACTTTTTGTGACCCTATGGACTGTAGCCCACTAGGCTCCTCTGTCCATGGGGTTCTCCAGGCAAGAATACTGGAGTGGGTTGCCATGCCCTCCTCCAGGGGATCTTCCCAACCCAGGGATCAAAGCAAGTTGCAGGCAGATTCTTTATCCTCTGAGCCACCAGGGAAATGGTTTCCTAATAATTGATAGGTTAAGAGGAAATCAACCTAAGTGAGAGGTGTGAAATAAGTCATGTAACTTTGTAACAATCACATGCTTACTGATGATAATTTCTTAACTATGATAATTTCTTAATTACTCGTCTTCAACCATACAAACCATATTATGGATAGAGCTTGGATTGTTGTTCTTAACTATTTTGCAGGTGCTAACTAGAATGATAGCAAGCCAGGAAAGTGTATAGCTAAATCACAAATTGAATCTATATAATCCAGAAAACATAAGCAAAGAAATGTAATCGTTCAACTATCAGAATTTTTTAAAAATCTCAACTTGCTATCTGCAATTATCCAAATAATTTAATTAAGCTTTCCATTTTCATTAAAGCGATGTGGCCGTCCAGCAAATGTGCTCCGAGGAGGTTTCCTGAATGCCCCTCCTCTCTCTCTCAGGTTAGCTCTTCTGTGTCCCTGGTGCTGTTTCCTCGCAGCCTTCTGCACCTAGGAGGCAGCGTACTATTTGGAAGCAGGTGCTCTGTCTTTTCTGTATGGCCAGTGCCTATTACAGTGCTGGACACATGCTAAGTATTCAATAAAGTCTTTCCAACTGTCACTGAAAGGGACCTGGGCAGTCATGAATTCTAAATTATAGCACAGATCAGATGGGTCATTTCAAATCTCTTCTCACTGTTTTTTAATTTTCCTTCCTCAGCAAGAAATAGAATGGAAGTGGTCCTGGGCACTGCAGGAATACTGGAGAACTTTACTGTGAAGGTAAAAATTTCTGCAAAGAGGAAAGAAGAACTTCTTCCCAAAGCAGCAGCCTATAGTATCAAGGACAGACAGAGAAATCTTCCACATGATATTATAAACAGTGATTCTGTAGCTTACCTGATGACTGTCAGGAGTATGTGTGTGCAGATGAGCATGTGTGCATATGTGTGCAGATGTAAATACAAATACACAAATATTCACAAGTATGTGCACAGTTATGGGAAGGTGCTTCCCTTGGCTCCCCATTGTTAATAATATCCAGGGCATACCTGAATTCCTTAATGGCAGCCATTTTCTGTACCATCTAGATCATATTTGCACAAATTCATTCTTACTCTCATCTGGGACATTGCTTCTCTCTACAGACCTCTGTATTAATACTTTGGCTTTCTTCTCCATATAGTAAAATAATGAGAAAATATCTGCAAAGCATTTTACATACAGATCTCAATATAATTCCTATAAATTACTATTATCTAAAAGAAAGGCTTCCCTGGTGGCTCAAGTGGTAAAGAATCTGTCTGCGGTGCAGGAGACCCAGGTTTGATCCCGGAGTCAGGAAGATCTCGTGGAGAAGGAAATGGCAATCCACTCCAGTATTCTTGCCTGGAGAATTCCATGGATAGAGGAAGCCTGGTGGGCTATAGTCCACCAGGTCACAAAGAGTCGGACATGACCGAGCAACTAACACTAAAAGAAGAGTAACGTGAAGGTTGACCATGAATCACACATACACAAATCAAGAATGCATGCGTGTGTGCTAAGTTGCCTCAGTCATGTCTGACTCTTTGTAACCCTATGGACTGTTGCTTACCAGGCTCCTCTGTCCATGGAAATCTCCAGGCAAGAATACTGGAGTGAGTTGCAATGTTCTCCTCCAGGGGAACTTCCCCACCCTGGGATCGAACCCACGTCTCTTACATTTCCTGTATTGGCCACTAGTGCCACCTGGGAAGCCCCATAAACCAAGAAAAATGGTATTTAAAAATGAAGATAAATTCATATTATGTGCAGCTTTGCCTATGTTTACTTTAGAGTCAGCTAATCAGTTAAACTCATAGATGTTTCATATTTACATATTGAGGCTGAACAAGAAATGAAACGAGCATGCACACATTTCTGTACCTATCTACAGAGCATAGTGAGATTTCATCATTCTACAACTTCCCCAACCACTCAACACATGATTTAAATGAGATAGTTTCTGAATAAGCAACTCTAGAAGCCATTTGCTTATCGCATTATAGACCAGTTTCTTTTTGATCTATTAATGTATTTTGTGGACTATTTACCTTATATTACATTTCAACTAGATAATTTCAAAAATTAATATATGATATGTAAAAATGCATATCTTTTCCACTTCACAGTTAGTAAGTTTACATATCTATGAAGCATTAAACAAATAGGTAGTAAATGAAAACTATATAAATAACAGGCAAATCTACTGGTAACATAATAAAGTTTTCATCTACTTTGTAGAGGTTTTAATAGTATTTTACATCAGTGTCTATTTTAAACAGATATTATGCTACAGCTTCTCAGGAAAATCTGCCAATTTTGAGTTCAGAAGGTTCAAATGTCTCATTTACACAGGGTTTAAAAAGTGGGTCAATGTAAGGTAAATAAGGAGCATAGAAGCTTCAGTTGCCTTTTGTATATACTTTACTGGACTGTTGCCTTTTGTATATTACTAATCTGAAAACCAGATTGTTAATGGTGGTTAAAAATGACCTCTGGGAGCCTGGATATGTTTGTTCACTACTACTGTTAATGTTTTCCATCTGGCTAAAAGAAAAGAAAGCAGTCTAATAGTAGATTAAATAAATGAGATTTAGTTGACAATGAACTTCCCATTTTTATAAATATTCCATCAGGTTAAATGCATTTTACTTTTCCAAAATTAATGAATGGGTTTGGAGACATCCCAAAACGAAAATGCTTACTATCTTCCCATTATATTCTCCCTTAAAAAAAAAAAAAAGTTACACAAGGGCCAGGGTGGAGGGGGGCATAAGATCTTAATGATAAAGAAAATGGTTGAAATAGCTTAAACTTGGAGAATGATGGATAATTCGGGCATAAAATGCATAAAAGAGCCACAGCTCTGGATGAGTCTACACAAATGCACATTCGTGGCATTGCCTGTGAAGGCTGCTCGCCCCAAGAGGGTAGAGACAGCACGATCGCACATCAGAGAAACTACACTTCTGCTGAGTGCAGCGGAGCCCAGAGAGCCTGGAGCCACGTGGTTCCTGCTTCCCTGGTCTCTCCAGGGTCCTCTGGGACCAGACAGTCCCACATCTCCACCCGACCCCTGGTTCTGCCCTCACGCACACAGTCATTAGAAATTGGAAGTACAAGAGAGATGGATGTGAGCATTCGCCACGCCAAAGCAGGCATGAGCAGTAAATAGCAGATGAAGGGTGAAACTGGAATATCCAAAGGGGGGAAAAAACCTTAAAAAAGCCAATAGATTGACCAGTGCTACATTTCAAGGCACAATCGTAATGACTTTCTGTTAAACATCAAGGCACACCTCTGCTCGAGCCCCTGCAGTGGTCCCCTGTGGTCTCCACTGCATGATCCACTCCAGGTTCTCCAGTAACCCTGTCCCATCCAGCTCCACCAACCTGAATTTCTCTGTCACTAAGCACAAACCCTTTCCCCAAGGCAGACATCTGCTGGCTCTGTGTTTGGTGGTTTCTCTTCCCTAAGTTGCACCCCCACTAGTCCATCCAAAATCAGAAGTCCCCCAAGTGCCACTGACTCTTCCTTACACTAGTTTGGTCTTCCCCAGCTAGAAAATCTGCTTTCTGAAGGCAGAGGAATCCTGCTCTACAGGTAACCCCCCATGCCTCTGCTCTAGGGAAGGGTACAGATACATTCCACAAATGCTTGTACTTCATTTAATCCAATCTGCTTTGTGAAAGAAATACAAATTAATGTTATTGTGAAACTCCAAATATCATAATGTTTTTCAAGTACTAACTCATTCCTACAGACCAAAAAAGCATACTTTGATCCATTGTACAGTCTAAGATTTACTCTATATTTTCAGTTTACTGGAGAAGTTTGTGATTATTTCAATTTTTGTTTCTATCTGACATTTGGAAAATTTCTTCCAGGGACAAACAAAACTATAGCACTGAATGTTAACCAAGACATGGAAATGCTAATTCACATATACGTCTGCTGTGGCCTCCAACTGCAAAAAAAAATCTTACATTTTGTAGAGCTCATTTAATTTGAAGAGCCAAATGAGTAGGTCAGATAACCTGTTCTGTTTGTTGGTGGCTGTGAGATGGGAGGAAAAGTTGATTAAATAGATATTATGTTCTCAAGCTAAACTTAAATTCAATAAATAAGATCATTTAAGTCCTGTATCCTGTATGTATACAGGGCATCTAAGTACAGAGGGTACAATATAAAATGCCTGACATTTGGATGAAGAGTAAAATTGTTGGCATTTGCCTAGCCCTCCTATGGAAATACATCTTCCTTCCTTCTTCCAATCCCA